TTAAAAGTTATTCACCAGTGCTTGCTAAGATAAAACTGATTTTGGCAATGACATACCCTCTAAGAAAAGAGAGGGTGGGTGGGCGGGGCTAGTAGCTGCTAAGATAAGACTGATTTTGGCAAATCAGATACCTTCTAAAAAACGAGAGGGTGGGTGGGTGGGGCTAGTACCTGCTAAGATTAAACTAATTTTGGCAAACGACATGCTCTCTAAAAAAGAGTGGGCGGGTGGGCGGGGCTAGTACCTGCTAAGATTATTTTTAATGTTTTAAACTTTTATACAAATTTTCATTAAGTTAATTTTTCCCTTTGGTGGCAAATTCTATAATTTCCTAGATCTCTTCGGATTTTTCGGTCTTTAAAATTTTTCCATTTTTCGATTTCTTGACTTTATGATTTCCTGCTTTTTAAATTTTTGGAAGTTTAGATTTTTCAATTTCTCGATGTTTCGATTTTTCAGTTTCTCGATTTCGCGACTTATTGCATTTCGATTTTTCAATATTTCAGTTTTGCGATTTTTCAATTTTTCGATTTCTCGACTTTTCAACTTTCCATTTTTTCAATTTCATGATTTTTGTATCTATTTTCATCTCGGTGTTTTGGACTTCTCCATATTTCGAGTTTTCAATTTTTGGATATTTCAGTTTTGAAATTTTCAATTTCCCGTTTTTCGATGTCTGTTCCTTGATTTTTGAAATTTTCGACTTCGGTTTCTCAATCTCTCGACTTCTCGACTTCTCGGTGTTTCGATTTTTCAATTTTTCGATCTTACAGTTTTGTGATTTTTCAGTTTCTCGTTTTTTCGATTTTTGTTTCTTCATTTTTAAAATTTTCGATTTCTCAATTCTTCAGGTTTTCAGTTTTTCAATCCGGTTTTCGGTTTTTCAATTTCTTGTTTTTTCGGTTTTTTTCTACTCTTTGATTTTTCAATATTTCAGCTTCTGAATTTTTCGATTCTCGATTTTTCGATTTTTCTATTTTTCTATTTTTAAAGTTTTCAATTTCTCTCTTCTTCGATTTTTAGTACAATAACCATAACAACTAGTAGTCATTAATCGTTGTGTATTATTTATTATTAATAAAACAAGCTGTTATTTTTCATTAATAAATAAACCAAAAAAAGTGTAATGTTTCCAAATTTTGATCATTTTTTTAAAAGTTATTCACCAGTGCTTGCTAAGATAAAACTGATTTTGGCAATGACATACCCTCTAAGAAAAGAGAGGGTGGGTGGGCGGGGCTAGTAGCTGCTAAGATAAGACTGATTTTGGCAAATCAGATACCTTCTAAAAAACGAGAGGGTGGGTGGGTGGGGCTAGTACCTGCTAAGATTAAACTAATTTTGGCAAATGACATGCTCTCTAAAAAAGAGTGGGCGGGTGGGCGGGGCTAGTACCTGCTAAGATTATTTTTAATGTTTTAAACTTTTATACAAACTTTCATTAAGTTAATTTTTCCCTTTGGTGGCAAATTCTATAATTTCCTAGATTTCTTTGGATTTCTCGGTCTTTAAAATTTTCCACTTTTCGATTTCTTGACTTTATGATTTCCTGCTTTCTAAATTTTTGGAAGTTTAGATTTTTCAATTTCTCGATGTTTCGATTTTTCAGTTTCTCGACTTTTCAACTTTCCATTTTTTCAATTTCATAATTTTTGTATCTATTTGCATCTCGGTTTTTGGACTTCTCCATATTTCGAGTTTTCAATTTTTGGATATTTCAGTTTTGAGATTTTGAATTTCCCGTTTTTCGATGTCTGTTCCTTGATTTTTGAAATTTTCGACTTCGGTTTCTCAATCTCTCGACTTTTCGACTTCTCGGTATTTCGATTTTTCAATTTTTCGATCTTCCAGTTTTGTGATTTTCCAATTTCTCGTTTTTTTGATTTTTGTTTCTTCATTTTTTAAATTTTCGATTTCTCAATTCTTCAGGTTTTCAGTTATTCAATCAGGTTTTCGGTTTTTCAATTTCTTGTTTTTTCGATTTTTCTACTCTTTGATTTTTCAATATTTCAGCTTCTGAATTTTTCGATTGCCCGATTTTTATTAATAAAACAAGGTGTTATTTTTCATTAATAAATAAACCAAAAAAGTGTAATGTTTCCAAATTTTGATCATTTTTTTAAAAGTTAGTCACCAGTGCTTGTTAAGATAAAACTGATTTTGGGAATGACATACCCTCTAAGAAAAGAGAGGGTGGGTGGGCGGGGCTAGTAGCTGCCAAGACAAGACTGATTTTGGCAAATGAGATACCCGCGAAGAAAAGAGAGGGTGGGTGGGCGGGGCTAGTAGCTGCTAAGATAAGACTGATTTTGGCAAATGACATACTGTCTAAAAAAGAGAGGGCGGGTGGGCGGGGCTAGTACCTGCTAAGATTATTTTTAATGTTTTAAGCTTTTATACAAACTTTCATTAAGTTAATTTTTCATTTTGGTGGCAATTTCTATGATTTCCTAGATCTCTTTGGATTTCTCGGTCTTTAAAATTTTCCATTTTTCGATTTCTTGACTGTATATATTCCTGATTTCTAAATTTTTGGAAGTTTTGATTTTTCAACTTCTCCATGTTTCGATTTTTTAGTTTCTCGATTTCGCGACTTATCACATTTCGATTTTTCAATATTTCAGTTTTGCGATTTTTCAATTTTTCGATTTCTCAACTTTTTGACTTTTCGATTTCTCAATTATTCGTCTTTTCGATGTCTCGACTTTTCAACTTTCCAATTTTTCCATCTCGGTTTTTTGGACTTCTCGATATTTCGAGTTTTCAATTTTTGGATATTTCAGTTTTGAGATTTTTCAATTTCCCGTTTTTTTCGATTTCTGTTCCTTGATTTTTGAAATTTTCGACTTCGGTTTCTCAATCTCTCGACTTTTCGACTTCCCGGCATTTCGATTTTTCAAGTTTTCGATTTTTCAGTTTCGTGATTTTTCAATTTCTCGTTTTTTCGATTTTTGTTTCTTTATTTTTAAAATTTTCGATTTCTCAATTCTTCAGGTTTTCAGTTATTCAATCAGGTTTTCGGTTCTTGAATTTCTTGTTTTTTTTTATTTTTCTACTCTTTCATTTTTCAATATTTCAGCTTCTGAATTTTTCGATTGTCCGATTTTTATTAATAAAACAAGGTGTTATTTTTCATTAATAAATAAACCAAAAAAAGTGTAATGTTTCCAAATTTTGATCATTTTTTTAAAAGTTAGTCATCAGTGCTTGCTAAGATAAAACCGATTTTGGCAATGACATATCCTCTAAGAAAAGAGAGGGTGGGTGGGCGGGGCTAGTAGCTGCTAAGACAAGACTGATTTTGGCAAATGAGATACCCTCGAAGAAAAGAGAGGGTGGGTGGGCGGGGCTAGTACCTGCTCAGATTAAACTGATTTTGGCAAATGACATATCCTCTGAGAAATTTAATGAAATTCTTTTAAGAAAAGACACTAGAGGCTCCAAAGCACTTTCAAATTCTTTACAAATAGGAATATCTAGAATCTCAAGATCGTTTTAAATTTCTCAAAAAAAAACCGGGGTCCAAAAATTAACTCAAAAACAGGTAATTTCAGAATTTTCAAAAATAGAACAAAGTCCCGCAAAATTGTTTTAAACAATTTAGAAAAAAATCTTCATGGGCTTCCAAAATAATACACCATGGGAACCCAAGAGTTTCCTGGATTGAAAAAAACCACTGCGGCACTCAAGACTTTCAAATTCATAAAAGATAAAACACTAAATGCTAAAAAGGTTTTTTCAAGTACATCTAGCAACAAAACACAAGATTCCTTTAAATTTATCCGAAATAAAACACCAGGGGACGTAATTACTATTTTTCCCAGATTCACCAGTTGATTGTTCAGAGCGTCGCGGAGAGTTAATCCGCTATTTTCCAAACACCCGGTAAGGCAAAAAAAAGCTACTTCACCTGGACTTTAGCTGAACCGACCTGACCTATGAAACAACATACGTAAAAATTAATAAAAATTCTCTATTATGATATCTACAAGAAAGAACTTTCGGCATCACGTAGTTTATGAAGGGTCCCCTTGCGGCTCCTTGCGTCGCCCCTGATTGGAGTGCGTTCTGAGTCGGGGCCTCCTTTGTGGCGATCGTCCGGACGTCGATCGACTCCCATTGTGTCCGACTTCCGCGCTCTTTTGATTTTTAATTTCGGAATTTCGTCCGACCCGTAAATAATCCAATATTTATTTTGGTATATAGGTATTCTGGGAAGTTCGTCCGCATCGCATCGACAAGCGAAGAAGTCACCCATCGATCCGGGAGCTAAGTGATACAAAGTGACTTCCCTGGTGCACTCCAAGTGAAATTAATTCAGCCAAGGCATGACTCGACTGTAGTTTTCGTCGAAATAAATAATAGGCGGCGAACGTGCGAAAATCTTGCCGCCCACCGTTCGCCGCCAAGTTGATTTGTTTGTGACAAATTAAAAACGAAATCCGCAGCTTTAAAAAATTAACACCCCCAATAACGGAACGAGGCTGTTATAGTAAACAGAGGGATCATGCCGGCGCTCGATTATTGAACCATTTTATATTTACACCTGTAATATCACGTTTCGCCGCTGCTAAAAAATCACGCTTGTGGATCCAGCGATTCGAAGCGCACCGCAAATTGGATTTTTATTGGCTCCGAAACTGTGCACTTGAGGAGTAATTAAGCGATCAGATCAAAGAAATGTTTGATTCGAGATTTTATTCGGAGTCGTGCACGCTTGATTAGCTGCTTTTCGGCCGGAGCCGAAATTAATGGCAGCGAGCTTAATCTGACAATTTCCGGGACAATTTCGGATTTAAGTCGATTAGGAGACGTTAATGGCGGCGATGGCCAGAGGCGGCGGGCCTTATTAGCGCTTGGCTTTGCTTAATAATTATTGTTTTGCATTTTAAGAGGTAGCCGTGACGTAAACAAATGTGGCGGCGCACGACGCCGCCCCCAAAGGCCGCGCGATATAAAAACACCACTGGCGATACCATCGCTACATCAGTCCAAATTGTGCCAGGACAAAGGTACACGTTTATGGACATTATGAAGACTTTGAGCGGTGTGCAGTTGTGTTTCGTGCTCCTGTGCTTGGCTGCCTGCATGGCCGGTAAGTACCCACTCACACTTTTTGAATTTTACTTTTTTTGATTTTTTTTTTTTGTAAAATTTCCAAAGAAATGCAAAATCGTCGAACTGTACATTGTGAGATTTTTCCAAATCCCTTTTTCAAAATTTTACCTTTCATATTTTCACTTCAATTGACAAGATTTTTTTTCTCTGGACATTTCATTTTTAAAAATTTTGGATTATTGAGTTCATAAGATTGTTTTGGCTCTCCTGTGTTTTTAGAGTTTCTACATTGAAGTTTTTTAATTTTTTCCAATTTTCCAGTCATATTTCCAGAATTTTCAAGCCAGTTTTCGAACTTATCAAAAGTTTCAAATTCAAAGACACTCTTTTTTGTTTTAAATTAATTATTCAAAAGAACAATTTAATTTTTGTTTCAAACGCAGTTGTTTTCAAAGGTCCATTTTCATGTATCTTCGACGAACACGAAAATGCAATTTTCGAAATTTTTGGCGATTTTGTTATCCAGTAATACCGAACTACAGAACCGTTTACTTTGAAATTTTAGTTGTCCGTTTAGATGATCAAATACATTTTGTGCTTGTACTTGACTCTATGTCTTTGGATTATCTTAGAAAAAAATTTGAATCATGAAATTTCAGACTTGAGATTTCTTCAAAATTTTGGTATCGACTGAATTTAATTGTCTATGGATTCTCTCCAGAAAGTTGGCGACGTCTTCTTAAGAGAAAGATGTTTGTGCTTTAGTGTGGTTATCTAAATTAAGCCTCATAAAAAAATTTAAAAATCTACAAATTTTGAATAATCAAAAGTTAAAAATCGAGAAATTGAAAAATCGAAAAATTCAAAATCGTTGTTGAGAAACGTCAAAGATATACGAAAATAGATCTTTGGAAAAAAAAGTTCAGATTGATTAAAAACTTCTGTTCTTGTACTGCATTTTCACTACTTTTGGAATTTTTAAGTTTCGATTCCTTTTCTTCTAAAACATTTTTTTTTTGAGTGTTCTAGACTTTTATACAAACTTTCATTAGGTTAATTTTTTTCCCTGGTTGTAAATTCTATAATTTCTTAGATCTCTTTGGATCTCTTTTTCCATTTTTCGGTTTTTCGACTTTTTGGTTTCCTGATTTCTAAATTTTTTGACTTTTCAATATTTCGGTTTTGCTATTTTTCAGTTTTTCGATTTCTCCACTTTTTGACTTTTAAATTTCTCAATTTTTGGTCTTTTCGATTTCCCGATTTTTCAAATTTCCGATTTTTCAATTTCATGATGTTTGTATCTATTTCCATCTCGGTTTTTCGAATTTTCCATTTTTCAATTTTTAGGTCTTCCGATTTCTGGAATATTGGACTTCTCGATATATCGAGTTTTCAATTTTTAGATATTTCATTTCTGCGATTTTTTTCTTTCAATTTATCCCCTTTTTGATTTTTCAATTTTTAGTTTTTTCAACTTCTTTCGATTTCACGACTTTTCGATTGCACACTTTTTTCGATTTTTCGGTTTCCCAATTTTTCGACTTTTCTTCTTCAGGAATGTTTCAATTCCCCGATATTTCGATTTTTTGATTTCGGAGTTTTTAGAATTTTCAATTACTCTATTCTTTGATTTTTCGACTTTTCGATTTCACAACATTTCCACAAATCGATTGTTTCGGTTTTTCAATTTTTCGTCTTCGCGATTTCTCGATTTTTCAAATATTCGACTTTTTGATTTTTCAATTTCCCGAGTTTTAGATCTCTTTCGCTGACTCGATTTTTCGAATTTTCTATTTCTTAACGTTTCGATATCTCGGTTTTTCGATGTCACATTTTTTACGAAATTTTGATTTTTTCCTTTTTTCAATTTTTCGATTTATCCACGTTTTGACTTTTCGATTTCTCAATTTTTCGTTTTTTTGATTTCTCGATTTTTCAACTTTCCGATTGCCATCTATGTATTTCCATCCCGGTTTTTCGAATTATCCATTTTTAGATTTTCCGATTTCTCGAATTTTGAACTTCTCGATATTTCGAGTTTTCAATTTTTCAATATTTCAGTTTTGCGATTTGGAGTTTCTCGTTTTTCGATTTCTGTTCCTTGATTTTTCAAATTTTCGACTTCGGTTGTTCAATTTCTCGACATTTCGACTTCTCGGTATTTGGATTTTTCAATTTTTTGATCTTCCAGTTTCGTGATTTTTCAATTTTGCGTTTTTTCGGTTTTTGTTCCTTGATCTTTCAATTTTTCAACTTCGATTTCTCGATGTAAGGGTTTTCAAATTTTCGATTTCTCAATTTATCCCTTTTTCGATTTTTTAAATTCTTTCGATTTCTCGGCTTTTCGATTTCTCGATTTTTCAAATATTCGACTTTTTGATTTTTCAATTTCCCGAGTTTTAGACCTCTTTCGCTGTCTTTTTTTTAGAATTTTTTATTCTCAAAGTTTCGATATCTCAGTTTTTCGAGGTCACATTTTTTTCGAAATTTTGGTTTTTTTCGTTTTTCAATTTTTTCGATTTCTTGACGTTTTGACTTTTCGATTTCTCAATTTTTCGTCTTTTTGATTTCCCGATTTTTCAACTTTCCGATTTCCATCTAGGTATTTCCATCTCAGTTTTTCAAATTTTCCATTTTTCCATTTTCAGATTTTCCGATTCCTCGATTTTTGAACTTCTCGTTATTTCGAGTTTTCAATTTTTGGATATTTCAGTTTTGCGATTATTCAGTTTCTCGTTTTTTCGATTTCTGATCCTTGATTTTTCAGTTTCGACTTCGGTTGCTTAATTTCTCGACTTTTCGGTATTTGGATTTTTCAATTTTTTGATCTTTCAGTTTCGTGATTTTTCAATTACGTGTTTTTTCGATTTTTGTGTCTTGATCTTTCGATTTTTCAACTTCAATTCTTCGATATAAGGTTTTTGAAATTTTCGATTTGTCAGTTCTTCAGGTTTTCTACTTTTTGATTTTTCAATGTTTCAATTTCTGAAAACATTTCAATTTTTTCGGTTTCTCAATTTTTCGTCTTTTCGATTTCTCAACGTTTCGATATCTCGGTTTTCGATTTCACATTTTTTTCGAAATTTTTATTTTTTTCGGTTTTTCAATTTTTCGGCTTTTCACTTTTTTTCGATTTTTTAGTTTTAAGTACATCCTTAGATTATCTTTGGAAACAAGTTTTAGTTATAAAATTTCATACCTGATCGCCAAGAGAATTTTTCAAAATTTTGGTATTGACTAAATTTAATTATTTGTGGCTCCCATCCACAAAGTTGGTGACGTTTTTTTAAATAAATATTAAGAGAAAGATTTTTGTGCTTCAGTGTGATTGTCTAAATAGGTTCATTTAATTTGCTTAAAATTGTGAAAAACAGTAATTATTTTAGTGCTACTTTGTACATTCACCAAAAAGTTTGCGCGATTTTTTAAGTTATCATCAAAATCCAAATAATAAAATATAATTTTCAAGTAAACAAAAAATTTTGCTGTGAAACTTCCACAATTTAAAAAACATTCCTCGGAGTATATATTTTTCAGTTTTTACAGTTTCAAAACTTTTGTTTCATTAACTTAATTTCATAATTATGTCTTTGCATTTGATATTGATGAATATTTTTTGCAAAAATTTTTACTGGAATCACTTTCATAAATTCATAATTCATAAAAGGAAAAATATTTAAAACATATACAGGGTGTTTCATCTCAGTTAGTTGGGTTTCGATGGAACTGAAGGCAACTTGGTTTTTAAAAAGAAATTGCAGTTGTCTATGGCGTTATAGACATTTTTTGATCAGGTTACTTTAGAAAATTTGCAGAGAAATTCATCTGTGATTTGCTCCAACAATAACTTGAATTTTTCTTCGTTCAGTTTTCCTTATTTTCACTGATAGCTATAAATTTACAACTACTTTTTAATACTTTCATTAACATATATTAGGACAAATATTGGACTCAAAACAGAGCCCTGAGAAACATTAGTAACACTTTGGAAGTGTTCTTTTTTCTTTTTCTGACCTGACCTGAAGCTATTTTTCAAGATTATTTAACATTTTCGGTGCTCAGACTAACTTCGATCAAAAATTGAGTATTTTAATCCGGCTCAAACGACAATTTTCTCCTTCGAGCCGGATCAGCCGATACTAACTTTCGTTTTTTCCAGAGTGCAAGGAGCCCAAGCGCTCCAAACTCTCCTCCGACTTCGGCCTCACCCCCTTCCTGCGCTCCGGCCGGGGCTCCGAGCACAGCTGGGACGCCAACGTCGACGTGAAGCGGAAGATCGGCAAGATGGTGTCGTTCCCCCGCATCGGGCGCAGCGAGTCCTGGGGCGCCGACGAGAACAACTACGGAGCCAAGCGCCCCGGCGCCAACTCCGGCATGTGGTTCGGGCCCCGGCTGGGTCGCGTCCAGAAGCGCAGCGACGAGTACACCCCCTGGACCTACATCATCGTGAACGGCGAAGGCCCCGTGACGCGCCAGGTGCACTACACCCCGCGGCTGGGCCGCGAGTCCGAGGAGGTCTACGACGACTTGGACGCCGAAGACGTAGCTTAAACTAGACGCACTCGAGCATTATAGTGTGAGGCTGGACATTATAATACTTTTTATGCACTACTCATTGTGAAAATAAAACGGCTGAATAAAAATTATTTGTATTTTTATTAGAGGGTTTTATTTTTTAATTATTTGCACGAAGCGGCGCTTGCCGCTGAAATCCGGGTAGGTTTCGACGTGAGCTAGCCCCAAGGTATTGTTCTTGAGCAAATAAATGGAGAGCGGGGGCGGATGGCGGGGATCCACTTCCAGGAATAATTTGCCGTTTTTATCCAGGCATCGGGATGATATGGATAAGATTGTTTTAATCACGGATAACCCCTGCGCGCCCCCGTCGAGAGCCCTTGGGTCCTCGTACCTGGAAAATTAAACGGGGATTACGGAGCGCTTATTTAGGCTTAAAAATCAACAAAACAAAGGCTAAATTGTGCCGACTCTCACGGCCTCAGGCGATTCATCGGCGCAAATTTTAAATAAACAAAAATAATTTCATCTTCAACAAAGAAAAAACAATTTAACACCAGACAACATCTCATCTAACTCGGCTTTTACTCCTTACAACTTAATTTCCTTCTGTAGGTGCTCCATGTCCTCCGTGAAAACATACGGCGGATTTGACACCACCAGGTCGAATTTTTCTTCGCAATTCCACCGCTCTAGTTGGCTCTGGATGATACGAATGCGTTTGTTTAAACCGTTCCTTTGTGCATTTTCTTTTGTCAATTGACACGCCGCCTCCGATTGATCGACGCCGGTCGCTTTTATCTACAACAGAATGGGGTGCAAGCGACCTATTTAATTATTATTGTTACTGTAGTTACAGTATCCTGCTCCTGCAGCAAGGATAACGCAATCGCGCCGCTTCCGCAACATAAGTCCAGGATGTGGAAATCCTTCCGGACGATTTCAGGGAGGATGATGTCGACGAGTTGCTCCGTTTCGGGGCGGGGGATGAACACAGGTGCAGACATCTTCAGGGTTAAGTGGCGGAAGGACCACTCACCCAGAATGTATTGAACAGGAACACTGTTATTATGGTCATTATTATCATTATTATTGTGGTCGTTTCACCTACTGTTTGAGTCGCTGCGAACACAAAGCGTCGATTTGGACGATCTGAGTGGCCGTTAAAGGAGTTTTTTTCAGTCTGTAGATGTCGGAAATCTAAAAAAAAATACAATTTAATAAAAATTATTAATTTTAGACGTAGTTACCCGTGTGGTGCCTAAAACGTGAGCTACAATGTGTTCAGTGGAGGCTACAGGCTCTGAAATCGCCTCAATTTCGAATTTGTGGCGCCAGTGTTCAAACAGCGCGCCGATTGTGGTTTCGTTTTTCTCAGAGCTGCCAACCGAGAAACACACGTTTCCCCTATTAGAGGAAACTAACCTAATTTTCTTGTGAACAATTTTTTCTGCGAGATGCGTGAAATCTGACAGAAAAGAAGCAAAAAATGTCGCGTTCTTACGTAAGTAGAACATTTTTTTTGTATAATTAGTTGTCGAAATCACATTGCGTGAGTTATTTGCACAGAAACGCTGAAAGAGTTTTTTCCGGGTCGCCGCTTCACAGCACTGGAAACGCGGGAAGGTCAAGGCGGGAAATTTAAAACAGTCGATTCAATAACTAACATTATATTGGAGAAAACACAAGAACATATTTTTTCCAATATCATTGTAGTCATAACAACCGGAGTAACAATAATATTGATTGTTGTTGGTTGATAAATACTAAATGGAGCGGCCATGTGCATATCTGTTTTGTTTTAAAAATCGCGACAAGATAAAAACCCATTAATAACAAACATTTATTTATAAATAACGACGTCTTGGACATAATATCAATACTTCCTAATACTTCAAGTCTTGTTAAGTAGAGTGTCTGTTTGCTCCGCTTGTACTTCAGCACTTCCCCGTTTTCGCCTTAACCGGACGATCACAGCCTCCACCGTCCATATAAAGATAGTAGAGAAAGTAATCAAGTTCAAAACGATTATACACAGGGTGTAACTACCCGTCACATCCCTAATCACCCCAATTACCGGCCCCCCAATCAAAATACACAGCCCGTTGACCATCATCTGCAGCCCGGACGCCGACGCCAACTTCTCAATCGGTACATACATCGGGATGACCAAAGACATGTACACCGTCCGGATACCTTTGGCTATACCCAACCCCAGCGCCACACCCAGCAGCACCACGAAGTCATTCGAAATCAAAAGAGCTGAAAAGCATACTTAAAACCCCATTTTTCGGGATAAAACACACTTACAAAACCTGGAGACCATCAAAAGGAACAACGTCACCATGTACATCTGTCTAGACGGTAGTTTGACAAAGTCTCCGATGTAGGGCGCCAGAAACCGGAACACGATATCCGCTATCCCCAAAACTGACATGAACGTGGCGATCTGGTTGGTGTTTAGACCGAACTCGGCGAGAATGAACGCCGTCAGGAGCGAGAAATTGATTTCGGCGAAGACGGCCAGCGAAAGACCCATCATGATATTGACGTAGACGGGGTCTTTGAGGAGATCCAAGTCGAAGAAGCTCACCATGCGGTCGGCGAAGCGCTTCCACGTGCTTTTTTTCTTGATGGGTTTAGTGAGTGGGGAGTTGTAGGGGTTGTGAGTGAGGCTGGGGACTGAGCCCTTTTTCCACGACTGGGAGACAAGGGAGTCTTTGCGGTTGCGGGTCACTACAAACCAAGATTAGGGTTTTCAATGGAAAGATTTTTGGTTTACCTGATTGGATAGACAGGACGCTTCCGTTGAAAGCGGAGTCCAATCCGTACACCGGTCCGTTTTCCAGGTCATCCATTGACGCGTTAGAGTCGACGGAAATCTTGCGTTTGGTTTCGACTTGGGATGCTAAAAAATGCGTGAGGTGGAAGGAAAAAATACAAGTCGAACTCACCGCTTCTTTTTAAGTCGATTTTGGTCTGGGTTTTGTCTTCGTTGTTTGGTTTGTCGACAGGTTCGGGGTTTTCCTCTGGTACCTCTTGTGTTTTCATGTGCCACTTGATTGGTTGGAGCAAACTGGCTGCCACGAACGAGTTAGCAGCGATGCCACCTAGAATGAGGGTGACTCCTTGCACGGTGTGGACTTTGATCAACCCGTTAATCACTTGGGGCATTAATATAGGTCCTAGACCTGTGATCGTCATCGCATATCCCACCGCCTGCCCTTTTTTCTTTCTGAAGTAGCTATTAAGGGCCAAACTGTACGCCGACATGTTCAAGCCGAACCCAATTGCTGAAATCAACGTTTGAGAGTTGATCTTGTCGCTCTCTACTGACTAACCTACTAACATGTAATCAGTCCGTACGTGATGATGAAGTGTGTGAAGGTGCTCGCAAACGACGTGAGGACGATTCCCACTGAAATGAAGCACGACGCTGCTATGGCGACTTTACGGTATCCGAAGATTTTGAGGAGGAGCCCGTTGAGTAAGCCCATGATCATCCCGAAGGCGGCGTTCAGGTTGATAATGAGTGACCCCTCAGTGGCCGATAGCCCCATTTCTTGGAAGGTGTCTTTGAATACCAGTCCGAAACTTTGCATTAAGGGAATGATGACGAGCTGAAAATGTGGATTGGGTTATCTTTGAGTGGGTGATAAGCTTAAGAAATGCAAGGCCGCGGAAACGTTGCGCAACGGGGTGGTTGACACTCACGTTACTAAGAGCGTTGGCCAGGACGATCACCCACCCGTAGCCACCATCTGGTGGTACTTTGACTGTGGTCACCATTTCACTATCACAAACACAAACAGATCGACAGCAATTGTAAGAATGATGATAAGGAGGAGCGATCGGTTTATATACAACTATAGACCCTGAATTGACGCGATGATAATAATTATCTCGGCCGCGAATTTTTTTCAATACGAGTGTGATACAGCAAACACTGGATGCGTTCGGTTTTACGTAATTAGTGACAATCATAATTGGCCGGATTAATTGTTGGCGAGTCACAATTAGATTCAATTGAGGGGCAAACAGCGGCCCGCATGGACACGTTCGGGGACCTTGTCCATCGTTATATAATTTTTGAAGATTTTCGACACATGCAGTGACGGTGCAAGTGTTACGTTATCGATTTGTCATCAACTTAGTAATTCCAACAACGAATAGTGATTAGCGTTATCTGGGAAGAAAGGTAGATCTCCGACAAATAGATTGACGAGTGCTAAAACCACAATTAAATAGTAACCCGTTTGTACATAATTGTATTATATCACTGATAATTACAACCACTTTCGTAACAAAAGTACTACATGTTAAGTACGTGCGTGTGCACAGCCTTGAAAACCAAATTCATCACGCAGTCGTCTTCGTCGCTTCGTTTGTTTGGACGTCCGCGGGTTTCTTCTTGAGGTACTTCTCGAGCGTCCACGCGATGGCCGTAGCGTACGTCATTATGTTAAGAATGTGTAAAGTGATGACGTAGTTCTTCGAGGTATCGCGGATCCAACCGACGACTGGTCCCAGTACCAGGAACAACAAACCGCTGGTTGCTAATTGTAGCCCTGAGGCGGCTGGTAGACGCTCCAGCGGTACGTGGGTGGGAATCACGAGCGCCATGAAGATGGTCCTCAGACCTTTACCGGCGCCGATGATCACCGCCACCACCAATCCGAAGACATACGTTTGGGTGTGCACCAGAACTAAACAATCGTTAGAAGGAGGAGGATAGTTTGATTAAACAAACTTACTTATGCGGCCGAAGGCCATGCTGAGGACACCCACTAAGAAGAAGGTGCGGTTTTCCCAACCGATCTTTCCGGCGATGAACGGAATGAAGAAACGGACCACGATGTCGGTGGCACCAAGCAGCGACATGAACGTCGCGATTTGGTACTTACCGAAATGAAACTCTTCAAGTACCATCGGGGTGATTATGGAGAAGTTGATTTCGACGAAGTTCGCTACGGTTATTCCTAGCATCAAGTTTACGTAGACTGGGTCTTTGAAAAGATCGAAGTCGAAGAAAATGCACACTTTTTGGAAAAATGTCAACTTGTGCGACTTTATCGACTCCGTTTCTTCCTCTTCTTCGTGTTCGTGCTCGTGTTTGTACTCTTCTAGTTTTTTGGCAGCTGTTTTTAGAACGTCCTTCTCGTGATACTCTCCGGGTACTGCAAGCGCGTTCGTGTGATTCTCGTGGTGGTGTTCTTCCTCCTCCTGAATCGTGGGTTTCGACTTTGACGCTTTCCTCTCCTTTTTCCTTTCTTTGCCGTCTTGGACTAGATTAACCGACGAGTTTCTTTTGGAACGAGCTTCCGATAAGTTGGTGTACGACGGTCGTTTGGACATGGCGACGGAACTTTGTCCTGACGGGTACCTGGACGGTCCTTTCGAAGTCCCTCGGTTCGTTTTATTAGACGCCAATGACAATCTCGAACCGGCTAACGACCGATTTTGCGAATACCACCCGTCGTTGGACCGTACCATCATCGGATGCCCGGGATCTATGATTTCGTAACCCGTATTGTGAGGATCGTCTTCGTTGTAGATGTATTGACTCGACAGGAGACTCCTCGACTTGGACGATTTGCTTAACTTGCCTTCGAGAAACTCGGATTCAGCTTTTTTTTCCAAAAACGGTTTCATTTCGCTGGTGCCGTTTTCGACTTCTCTGAATTTCGTGTGCCATTCAACCGGTTGGAGCAGAAGCGAGCACATGAAGGCATGCAGCGCAAACGACGAGAAGACCATGAGGGTTCCTTCCATTCCGTACACTTCTAAAAGAGCCGTGATGATGTAAGGCCACACGATCGGTCCCAAAGCCGTGGTGGTCCACGACAACCCCGTCGCTATCCTCCTCCTGTCCTTGAAGAAGGTATTCAACGCCACGGCATTCGCAGTCTGCGTTATACCGATCCCCGAGCCGTAACACATCGAATAAAAAACAAGGTACGTCCAAAACGACTCGCACATGGTCGAAACGAACAACGACGAAGCCACTAAAAGCGACCCAAACATGGCCACTTGTCTATACGTAAATTTTCTATATATAGGTCCATTCAGCAACCCTGGGACACCACCGAATCAAGATTAAACACCACAACAAAACGTTTGTCGCCCACATACCCACACAAGAGTTGAAAGCTGAATTCAGGTTGATCACAGTCGTCGTCTGGGTGTTGCTGATGTGCAAGTCTTCGAATTTCTGGCGGAAGACTAAGCCGAATTGTTGGAACATGGGAAACGTGCTCAACTGGAAAGAAAATTAGTGGTGGGACGAGCGATGGGGGCAACTTACGTTACTGAAGCCGCAGGCGAAGACCACGAGCCAACCCCAGCCTCCGTCGGGGGGCATGAAGTCGGGGTCGCCCACTCGCAAGCGGCGACGTTTCGGCTCCGACGAGTCTATCTTCACAGTTTTGCTTTTGCTGAGATCCATGGTTGAGGTGCGCTCGACCCTGTACGAGTGTATGAGGTGCAGTGGAAAAGTTTCCGGGTTTTATGGGTGCCTTGTAAGGACGGTTATTGCACGGTGACCAATTTGGGGATAATCTACTACTCGTGATTGTTGAGTTAATCTTTTATCTGATCGCTTTAGAGTGATTGAACAAAGGGATTTTGGGATTTTAACTCAATGCCTGTTTTAATAATTAACGTTTGTATTCGTGTCTTGGTCTTTGGAAAAAAAAAAACGATAAAGTGTAGATCGAGGCCAAGAAGTTCAAAGTCGTAACTAAATTTTTTTTTTTATCTAACTCGTGACAATTTGGATAATTAGTGTTTAGACTTTGTTCTCTTTTTTAACTATTTTGAAAGAAAAACATGGACTGCAGACAAAGGGAAAATTATGTCTCTAAACAAAGACATTGTTTCTTTGATTTAAATTTAGCCTGCCGTCCACTACAAAGCTTTCTAAATGCACTCACCTCTTCACGATCGCTTCGAATTGCTCACTTGTAAAACTCACATCACGTTTGAGGTGAAAATTCCCTCGGTTTTCCCGTCTGCTCGAGGCGATCGACTACCGTCTACTGTGTCCGCGCGTCAAGTATGCTGCGAGATTTTTAAAATGGTGATAATACCAGCGATCGACATAAACGGGTATTATCGCTATTTACAGAGAATCTAATCCAAAAACTTCGGTCAACATCATAATTGGCATCGACGAGAGATGAAGAACTCTTATCTGTTAATATTCGGGCCAGTGGTGTTTTCGCCGATTCAGTTTCAGTTATTAAAATATATTTAATTTCCTATATTGTTCACAACGATTTCACGTGTCGTTTGTCAACAATTAAGGTTTATTGAGGTATTAAAAGTACAATAAATGATGAATGGCTCCACGTTTTGCGTTCGTGGTTTAAATAGTTTTCAAGTTTGTGGATTCTGTCAATGCGGGGACCAATGAGAACGCGGGACGACGCTTTGGGACCGCTCCAAATTATTTATAAGCGAACTTTGCCCCCGTGAATACCTTCGGATAAGAGATTTTTGGGCGATAATTGCGAGATAGATGGATAAAAATGAGATTTATTGGTGTTGATTGACATTTGATCGATTAAAAAAATCCGTCTTGAAATAATTGATTTTGATTTGTATATTACGCGATACTGACGACGGTGGCCTGCACGACGAAACCGGTTACACATAGTCAAAATTATTTATCCTCGTGTAGATAGCGTGGATTTACTTAACCCCCATTTAGAGCATTTTTGCATTTAAATACTCAACATAATTGTGTTTGCTCGGTCCTGATATGATTAGATAAATAACAATAGGTACATGAACGTTGTGCAATAAGATCGACCGCTGTTTACACATTAATGACTAATAATGGCGGTTGTTTTCGATTTTAAAGCACAAACAACCACAAAGATTATTAGTTGTGCATTCGTCCTCTTCTTTTACATTAAAATAGTTATAATAAAACGCGTCTCTGTCGCCAGACTTGAACGATTTACACTGATAAGAATTTTTAAGAACGTTGTAGTTTCAAGTGTATAAAATTTATTATCACCTTTAACATTAATCACAATTTATCTTGCGGAAGACCCTTTTTCCTCTCGTAAACCCAGAAATGGACGACCCACAACACCACACAGAACATGGAAAGGATCGACGCCGTATGCAAAGTGTACACGTAGGAACTACTGACGTCGTGAATGGCACCTTAAACACAAAACTAGAATTCCACCATGACACTAAAATCGCCTTACCAATGATGGGCCCTAATGCTAATGACGTAGCTCCCGTCAGCAACATGTTCAACCCATTCGCCGCCGGCAACTTCTCCAGACTTACATACTTCGGAATTATCACCGACTGGTACACAGCTTTTATCCCTTTCGCCAACCCTATCAAACAAACACACACGAAAATCGTCGACTTGGACGAATAAAAAGCCGCCATTACTGAAACATTCAAATTTAGCGCCATCCCACGCGATTCGTGTTACTTACAAGTCCTGCCAACCGTCGACGTGATTAAAGACATAACATACATAACCCTCGGGGAAACACTGAAATGGTGACCCAGCAACGGCACGACCAACCGGCCGATGATATCGGCGATGGATTGTACCGACAAGGCAAGAGCGACGTCTTTGCGCTCGAACGACGCCAGTTCGGGTAAAATAAACGACATCATGAGGATAATGTTGAGTTCTGACGCGAAGGAAATCGACATGCCGATGATGGCGATCACGTAGGGACGGTCGCTGAGGAGCTCCAAATTGAAAAGGTCGTGGATTTTGGAGTAGAATCCAGTTTTCTGAGTCGGAAGGGTTGTGGATTTGTATACTTGGTCCCGGTCGAGGAGCTCGATTTCCTCCTTCGGGGGTTTAGGGTCGTCGGGGTCGGGTTTTGTGGTGCGTTTGATTGGTTTGAGGAGGAAACAACACGCGATTCCGAGAGTGGATAAGGCGGCCAGTACGAGAACCGTGGATTTGGTGCTTTGCAGGTGTGCCAACAGTTTGTGACACACTTGGGGCATTATTATGTACGAAATACTGGCGCCCGTTACGGAGAAGGAGACGGCCAGAGTCAGTCTTTTTTTGAAGTAGGTGTTGGTAGCTAGGTATGTCGCTGGTAACATGATACCTTGACCAAAACCTGCGCACGATGTATTACTGGTTGCATACTTTGTACATACAGTTATGTACTTACCGACTAGGATAGAGAAAGTGCAAATTAGGACTCCATAGGAGTTGGCAAAGCTGCTCAGGAGGATTCCCGTGCTCATCAGGGTGGTCCCGAAAACGGCGACCCGTCGGAAGTCGTATTTTTTCAATAACGGGCTCCCTAATAACCCCAAGCTACAATAGATGGCGCTGTGTAAATGCAACATGAATGACGTTTCGGCCGACGTTATGCCCATGCTTTTGAACTCTTGTTGGTAAATGATTCCGAAACATTGTACCAGAGGGAGGACTGATATCTGTAATTATACTGATGAGGGGGTGAGGGTTAATTGTCGTCACTTACGTTGATGAGGGTTGTTGCGAGGACGACGACCCAACCGTAGCCTCCGTCCGGGGGCGCGAAATCTTCTCTGTTCTTCTCCATCGCGACGAATGTCACATTTTCTCATTCCTAGCGTCTACAAAAAAGCAATAAACGCTGACGTACATAATGCTGGCTAAAATCTAGATAAGTAGAGTAAATAATGAGTTGTAAAACTAGTATGCGTGAGGACGAAGTCTGCGTTTTGCTTACCGGTTGACACAAATAGCACGACTTCCGGAAATCTGTATAATAGCCGTTGTCATGTTCTAACCACTGATAACGGGCGTTTCGAGTTGTTCGTAGATAACATGGCGCCCCCTACACGCTGTCGTTTTTCCAAAACAATGGACTTCGTAGCGAAAGTTGTTTACCTACGTTCTAACGAATCTAGACTCGCTTTGTATGGTAATGGTTCGATTACTTAATTATCGCGTTGACATTCCATTGTTTGTAAACAACGCGCCGACCTCGAATGACCCTGTGCATTTTATAGGCAACCAGCTTTACACCGTGTATGATTGTTTGCATAGTCTTTATCCCGGGGTTTATCGTTTTCATCTATTTTAAGATGATAATGAGAGGTAATTCGTTTTTCTCACGTATCTCCTGTTACTGTATGTTTAATTGATTTGTCCTGTTTTTGTCAGTCGCATTAATTTGAGCCTGGGTGGTAAATTAAATGCCGTCAGCATTTGGGTCTTCATTAGTAATTCAAATGGGTTGACTCAATTACGGAACGTGTATGAGGGATTTTACTTAATATGTTAAGCGAAGATGGATGATACAATTTATCGTATATTATATTTGCATAAGGTTGAAACGAATTTATGGGTGACGTCTTCGACCCGATAACTTCGCCGGAGTTATGTTGCTAATTACGCTTCAAGGTGAAGCGCATTACAAATGGTGGTTTAGAAATCGGCAATTACTACTTTAAAGTTTTAAATGTGCTTCAAGAACATCTTGAAAACTTAACAAAAGTTAATTAAGTTGAAATTAATTAACAGCGGCGCGAAATCACATTTGAATAATTTAAATTTAAGAAAGAAAACAAAAAAGAATTCAAGTCATAAATCCTTAAACATAGGCAACCAGGTAACGCTTGCTGGATAGTTGGACAATTAGTAGGGCTAGGGATTTTAGTTAGAGGGTTGGTGGTTAGACAGAGGGCGGCATGGCGGAGGGTCAGTCTGAATGTGTTTTTGTGAATATAAACACACGGTAAGAGCTAGTTTAAATTAGTTGGTTTGGTAATGAATAAAAGGGAGGAAGCCTTTGTTTAACGACAATCAATCGTAACTTCTATGACGACACAGTTTCGCCAAACCGCGCAGCTAATTCTTGCGGCCTTTTAATCGGAAAAAAGTGCGGACTTTCGTTCAATGCGTAACATGTGCTGTAAATTTGTTTTATTGTTTGTAAATGAACCAATCAAGTTAGTTTTCTTAATCATCAGTAGAGAGCGGATTTTATGAAATTTGCATATCCGTTATTTTTTGCATATAAGTCTTGATATTTAATATGTGAACAAATCATGCTAATTAAAAAAGAATACAGCTATAAAAAAATGCATATTTGCATATATTTGCTTTCTGCTGCATATTTCACGTAACAAGTGCATATTTTGCATTTTTATCAATTTTTGTGCTAATTAAAAAAAAAAAAATGATTGTCATTCTATCGGTATTTGTCTAGAAAGACGAAATTTCATGAATCTTTCTATTGCAAATATTGTCCTGAGCTTCAAATAACTAGAAAAGGTTTGGGTTTTATGATAGTTTGGAGGTAAAATCGGGCCCTAATTACTCTTGGTAGTACCGTTCATTCCCAATATTTTTGTTCGTTACTTAAGTGTATTAATGGTATGTTTTATGGTGGTCAAAGGGACGTTATCCTATTATTTTTCATCGTGAGTTTGCATTGAAAGCATTTAAAGTGATCCAGGTGTGTCAATATGTCGAAGATAACTCAAATTAATTTATAGATTAAACCTTTTCCTGAACTTATTCTTCAAGAAGAAACTGTGTTTTTTCGCGCCTGCTCTAAACCGGCAAGTATTTTTACATCTGTGGACGTAGTACGCAGTTTTTCTATTAACAAATACATATTTTAGAATCACCCGATTTTTTTTTTTAATTCGAAAAATATTTAAAAATAAATTGTTACCAAAGTAGTAATTAAATAGTCGATTACTACCATTTTTTAATTTGTTCTGTTTATATTTATTTTTTAGTATAAGAATATTATTCTTAAAAATGTGATTTATGTGTTAGTGAGATGTAATTAAACACTTTGCATTGTGATTTATGTTTTTTTGTAATAAAACATAAGCTCGGAAAACCTGTTTTTGTAATTTGTAAATAAATTTAGTTCGGTTATTACGCTTTTTTTTTAATTTTTGGAGCATATGCAACTGCATATCTTTGCATATATTAAGAAAGTTACTGCATATTTGCATAAATTTGATGCATATCATATGAACATATTTCCTAAAATTTTGCTGCATATTTTCCGCTCTCTAATCATCAGCTAGTGCCAACACAATTTAACAATCAGGATTTTGGGGCTGAGGAGTTAATCTTCACAGCTTCTTTCCTCCTGAGAGGGGTGCTATTTTAGCCCCTCCAAAAAAATTTTGTCCATTATTTCTTCGCTCTCGACTCACACGCAGTGTATGCTCACTTTAAAAAAGAACGTCTTCCCGCCACTTTTCAAAAAAAAAAAACACAACGTAGTTTCCCATTTGTTAGACGATCGCACAATTTTGAATTTTTGAATTTTTCGCAGGCCTTTCAAACTTTTTCAAGGTCAATTAAAGGCGGGAAGTTTGGGTTATCAGAATATTAAAAAACTAAAGACGTCAAATTGTTTTTTTAGATTAATCTCACTTGAAATGTGCACTGCGATAGCTACTTTATCTGGCCTTGAATAATCACTCCTATTTTTAACAAAAAAAAAGTTAACGTAAATATATTTATGATAATGACGTCACCAAAAATGAGCTCGAAAACACTTAGTACATTGGTTTTGCTATGGTTTATTATTATGGGGTTAACAGTAACAGATGTTTTTGACGTTAATGTTGCACAATATCACCATGACAACTTCGATACATACACTCAAGACAATATGTGCGCTATAACAAAATCCTTCAATAAATTAAGGTGAAGATCATCGGTTTAATGTGTTCGAGATTTTATGTGGATAATTTATACCCAAAGTCAATAATCGCCCTCAGACTTTCTCAAATATAAATAAATTCGTTCGGTCGTAAAAGCAAATTCAAGGTTTCAGTCTAAAACACGGAATAAAACTCCTAGAAGTGTCTTTCGTCAAAAAATGACATCATTGCCGAGTCTCACGTAACGATTGTAATCAGGCTTCCCTCATTAACGGTCATGTAAATGACTAACAAAGTCTGTCGGACTTCAACCTTTAACACTGACCATAAAATTAACCAGCACAAAAAAACTCGTCGACCTGCTGATCTTTACTCGATAACAAAATTATTTATACTCGACCGACAACAATTAATAGTTAAGTAAATTCTGCGATCGGGAGTTACATCACTTTGTACACTCCCACGGATCATATAAATAAAGCAAATACATCAATCGCCTTTTATGTTTAAAGTAAATTTCCATGATTATTAGTACGGTACATTATACCACAAAGCACGTGCTATTTGTCATTTGGGACATTTAATGGGCTTTTGTTACGTGTACCACGTCGGTCTTGTTACTGAGATTTAAAATCGATGCTTGATTTAATTAACCCTATTGTAATAATTAATGGCCCGAATGCAAATATTGATCGTGTGACGTTTCATATTGAAATTTTTGATTCGTCGGTGTGAAAGTTGTCACAAAAATAGACTTGTGTACAGTGCGTGGTGTTGATTTTGATTAATTGCTCGTTAGCGCTGGTGATATAATGAAACTATTTACTATAATCCTCTTAGCGAGGATTGACGTTGGATGGTTGTAAACAGGTGATCGGAGAATGATCGGTCCTCAAACTTTTGATTAATCGAAGATCGTACTCCTGATTAAACTTAGTATCTAATCGTATTGTACTTGCACTTGTAACTCACGTCAAAGCGTCGATTTATTCGCATGTCATAAACAACAATTAGCATTGTTTTTTGTGATTACAACTAGTTATCGCGTCGTATGAGCGACTGTTTTTGTCGGTATCGGCCACATTTGTGTTATATTGTGTAACTAGTGAGTCAACATTTTGAGAATCGCTGTTCGCGTTTTAATAAATGACCCGCGATGGGTCCGCAAGTACTAGTGGTGCGATGGTGCTGCATGGGAACGCCAGCAGGTTCCAAAATGTTACCTTTGTAGTGTTTAGGACTTTTTAATGAATTAATTTTTTTTTTCGAAAACGTCTCAGGTTCGTATAATTTTTTTTTCTGCGGTATCGAAATTTCTCGCTCGTACCAGTCGCGACCAAACAAAAAAGTCCATTGCTCCCATCGATCGTCCCCTCCCTCGACCCCCGAATCGCTCGCCGCCCCAGAGACAGTGCTTCATGGGAATTTTCCTACCGCAACCGGGGGTCGCAACCCACACCCCCGATCCATAAATCCAAGGCCGTCATACCTAAACAAACGAATGATCGAATTCGGCTTCGGACAGTTCGGGATCCCTTTGATAATCAGCTGTGGTTTAGCCACCACGTGGTCTGCGCGTGAACAGAACGCGTCACGTGACGTCTTTGCATGGGATCGATGATGGGATGGAATTCCGTCCAAAGTCGACCGGCCCAGAGAGACGAACCGAGTCGCTAAGGTCTGAACCGGTCGGTCGTTCGAGCAAGTAAAGTGCCCTCACGTGAGATGAGTATGTATTTTTGCTTTTCTTGCATGATTCGAGAGTGCTTTTTGAACGAGCTCAACGATTTTCGCGAGCTTTTAGTCTAGGCGCCCTAATTGCGGTCGCAATGCGATGGCGGCGCCCCAGCGCCGCCCCAGATTGTCCATTGACCTTTTGCCGTCCCCGTAAATCCCAAAACGTCTCAAAGCCCTCGACCCGTTTCGATTTTTTTCACCTGAGGGTGGTGCGCGCAGCTCACCTTGACCTTCGTTTGCATCTAGATAAAAGCTCGACCAAAAATAGCCGAGCTTTCAGCGAATTCATTCATGGCCGCAATGGCGTGCTGGAAATCCGTTCCCCGGAATTAGCTCGCCACCCGAGTCCGGGAATTCCTCGAAAAATCGCGACGTCGCTGCACTTCCGCAACGAGGGCACGACCTAATCCCCATTATTTATCGATTGTGTCGAAGGTCGCCATTATCTCGGACTGCGCCTCGCTCACCCGACCCGAGTCGGCTTGATTTGTTTTGGTGACGGCTAGAAAATGCTAATTTCGCACGTACGAAAAAATGCTAAAGTTCTATCACGTGGTGGGCGCGTGGCTGGTTGAAAGTCGCGGCGGACGAAGAAATTTTAACCAAGGTTCTTTTTGTTTTGGTCGCACTGCTGAGACGAATGGTGTGTTTCCAGGTTGGCCAGTACCATGTTCGCGGAAACAAAGAAAATGGTCCCTCCAGATGGCGGATGGGGGTGGGTCGTCGTCATAGGAGTCAGCGTCGTCAACGTAAGTGGACTTTGTATGGGAATTTGGGGGAAGCTTGTGAGATCAGATACTGAGCGTTCGTGGTTTTACTGCACCCGATAAAACGGTATTCACGAGTGCTCGTTTTTAATAATCGCCTCAAATGGGTCTCTTTATGGTAGCAAGTCTCATAAAGAGTCGGCACGTAACCACAATCCGAGAAAAAATGAATACTGATTTTTTTATGGGTTGAGGTGTGCAGAAAAGCCAGGAGTCGCTTTACCATAGAGGCATTTTTACAACCCTCTACGGACAATTATCGTTATAGAATGGGTACATTAATATATAATAATAATATAATATAATAAAACTTTGGATTGTAATTGATCATTTATTGTCGGTGACCCACTTTCAGATGTATCACGACCACCTATGACCGTGGGCAATATATTTTTTTGTTATCGGCCGTGGCACAACTACAGATTTGTTCTTTTTAAAAAAATTTAATTTCCATTGTGCAAAAAACACGTGCCAAGGTTGACTGTGTTTTGTTCTATAAATTACACTCCTCAACCGTTGATAAGTTTGCGATTGATTGTTTCCTTATCTTGGTAACAAATTTAACTTAGAAATCTTTTTGCGCAAATTTTCTATCCTTTAGAAGCGTAACCAAACGAAAACTGTTACAGTTATGCACGAGATCGATCGAACCATCCTTCGGTTTGTTGTTCGGCGACTTACTGAAAGACCTGGAGGTTGAGACGACCGGGGCGGCATTGATTATGAGCACCCTGGACGCCCTCATCAACTTTTCGGGACTTTTCGTAGGACCCTTAATTCGTGCCTTTTCTTATCGTAAAGTCTCGCTTGTCGGTTCGGCTCTTTGCGCCCTAGGGTTGATCCTCACTTACCCCGCCAACAGTATGGCGCACATCCTTGCTACGTACAGTATTATCAACGGTGAGTGCCGGGAATTAGTAGTAACGCTTTGGACTGACCCCTCCGATTTTGTCCCTCAGGTTTAGGTGTAGGTTTAACCGCATCGTCTACTTTCGTCGCCCTCAACAATTACTTCGTGAAGCGTCGCGGTCAAGCCGTCGGTCTCTCTCTTGCCGGTACGGCCTTCGGTATGATGTTAATGCCGCAAGCCGTCAAATTCCTTCTGGAGGCGTACGATTTTCGAGGAACGATTTTGATTTTGGGAGCTTTCGCACTTAACGCCATCGTCGGATCGACGCTCCTGCAACCGGCAAAGTGGCACTTCGTCCCGGAGTTCAAAGACGAAGAAGAGGCGTACCATCAGGTAGGAAAACTCCTGGAGATGCCTTTGTGTGTCTTTGTCGTATTTCGTATAGCTAATAATGAGTGTGTTTACTGCTGCAGAGAATATCCTTCTTTTTCGATTCTAATGAGGTAAATGGAGCTTGTTTAGGTGTAGATGTTTTTGCATGGTTTTGCTTGGTGGGCTTGGGTTGGGTAGTGCTTTCGGTTCTATAACTAGCTAGATCTGAGTGAGTATATTTTGTGTCGGATTTTCTTAATTAAACACACGATCAAGTATCCTGGAGGTTCGTACGATTACAAAAGTAGGTCGATTTTTCCGATTAAGCATTCTATCTGGGTCATTCTCGCTATCTGGGTTAGTAGCTTTACTGAGCCATCTCCCTTTCGACAGGAAATGGAGACCATCAAGGAAACTGACGACGAAGACCTAGATCTACACGAGGCTAAAACTCTAATCGATACCAAAGGCATGTCCGAATTGGCCGTGAGGACCTTGGAAGAATTGACCAAGCCCGGACTGGCGCGCAAATCGACTTTTCCTCGCAACTTCTCCACAATGAGCTTCTCCAACAACAAGCGCCGCAAACCCTCCCAGGACTCCATAGTCTCCAGCTACTCCCGGTTGGATTTCACCGGTTCTAGTCTTCAGCTTCACTTAGAGGTACGACCCCCGACATCCCCAAAAACCACACGCGTCAGTGGTGTTTTTTTTAGCAAACCGAGTCCGACTTGAGCGCCTCCTCCTCGGCGCACCTCCGCCGTAACATGTCCTACCCCGGCGTCCAGTTGACCTCCCACAAGAAAATCCTAGCCGAATTCGCGCGCTCGCCGCCGCGCTTCCGCCCGCAGAAGAAAAAGAACGTGTGGCAGAAGATCGTCACCTTCATGGACTTCGATCTGCTGAAAGACCCGATCTACCTTAACCTGGTCTTCGGGCTGTCGATCTTCTACGTCGCCGAGCAGAACTTCAAGATGGTAACGCCGTTCTTCTTCAACAGCATCGGCTACGGGAAGTCGGACGTCGCTCTATTTTTATCCGTCCAAGCGTTCACCGACATTCTGGCCAGGCTGATCCTGCCGCCCATCTGTGACAGGATCAACGTGTCCAAGCGGACGCTCTTCATGACCGGGATTTTTGTTTTGGGTATCTGCAGATCAGGTAAATATCTGGGGTGGGAATGACAGTTTCAAGGGCGGCTGGCGGCGAAGATTTTCATGGTTAATTGAGTCTTTCGAAACAGTATGTGTGGTTCATGTTGCTGCCTTAAGTGTCGGCGGCAGCCGCCTTTGCGACCGATCCACAAAACAAATAAATTCTCTCCAATGCTTTAGGATTAGGTACAGGTCAGGTCCCCTGTTCGTTTTTTGTTGGTTAGAGTCGTCATTTCATTTGAACTTTCCGAACGAACTGTTTCATTTTCTATTTTTTCTTCGTTTGGTTTTTTTATTATTTTGTTACCGTTTCGGTGCTGATGGATAAGCGTCTCACATGTATTAGGTGCGACACGTAGAGTTTAGGGGGGTTGTGTAATGTTTCGCGATGAAGTCGGGGGTTGGCGGATTCGGGACACGTTTCACGGTGATCTATTTTTTTGGGGGATGGTAGAAGCATGGGTCACGTTTCGGAAGGGAACGGCGATATCAGGGTGGAATTAAGTAATTTTTTGCGAGCTTATCTAAACGTTGAGGGACATAATGAATTCAATTGGCGTTCTAAGGGCGGGGTGATGAATTTTAATGTAGTCTGATAGGTGGGACAGTTACTAGGGTTGAGAAACTAAAATAGAATCAGTTGGAATGAACTCCAAAAAGAACGAGAGTCAAGTTTTAAAAGTGTAAATTTTAAGAATTGTCACCGAAAGGCACAAAAATTCGTCGTAAGACAGAAGGCGATTTTTTATTTAATAATAACTGAGCTGGTAGTGGTCACTGCTCGAGCAGGACCCGACTCCAGCTGAATATAGCGACTAGACGCACGGTTTCTATGGCAACGGTGTAAACAAAACGTCTAAATGAGGCATAATTTGGTCTCCGCTTTTATCAGCACTTCAGCAACGTATCATATATCCAAGACAAATCTTTAGATGTAAGTTTTGATACATTTTATACAAACGGAGCGTGATAAAAAATTAGTTTTGATAACTATGACACAAATTTTCCTGCCGTTTTTTGTGTAGATATTTCACGGTTAGATTTTTATTTCGATTTTTAAATGGCCCGGAGATTTTGAAAGCTGTAGAGTTCTTGAAAATCAATTTTGCAATCTAAAAATGATCACACGTTAGGAGAAAACGAAACGTGAGAAGCAGCAACATTTATATCCGTAGAGTGATAATAATTCAAAATTGTTTTTTTGTTGTCGTACGTTATATTTTTGGCTTTTGGTTTTTGTGGTGGTCGGAGTGTTGCTGGTTCTGGCACCTAATCCACGTGAGTTCTCGGCGCGCTGGGGAGGAGTCGTATCGTTTGTTATGATTTCGTCCCAGAGTTTAAGTCTAGCTCGTAAACTTGTGCCTGTTTTGAATATGTATTCTAATATTCTTATGACTTTTTTGTTGGCAGCGGAAGGAGCCAAAGACTAGGTAACCCCCAAAATCATAGAAAAGTAAGCTTTCAAAAACTATAAGGCATACAGTTATTTTCTCATCATTATTTTTTGTTTTTAATTTCGAAAAAAATTCCTGCAGGACTTTGTGGTTTTCTTTTGATTTTCAATTGCTTATAAAGGACGATTTTTATTGTTTGGAAGTTTTTGTTTTGTTCACAGCACAGAGTCACTTTTAAGTATAGTGAACGTTTGGTGTAACACTGTTATTTCTGTTTCTTACAGTCCTCGCTGAACAGACCGATTGGACTATGATTATGGTTTGGTTGGTAATTTGTGGCTTCTTCAGGGGCGCGGCCCTCATCAATTTTACTATCACTATATCTGAGTATTCGTCGCTAGAGAAATTGCCGGCGGCCTTCGGACTACACATGGTGGGAAAGGGGCTTTTCGTAGTCGCCATCGGGCCCCTCCTAGGTGAGTCGCTTCATTCCGCAAAACGTACCCTCAATAATTTTTTTTCATCTTTCAAACAGGAATCATAAGAGACACGACCAAGAGCTTTCCGATTTGTCTTCATTCGCAGACTTGTCTTATTTTCATTTGCTGTGTGGCTTGGAGCATCGAATATGCTTTTAGGTTTTTCAGAACAAGGAGCGTCGAATCGGACACGGATACGACGACCACATGACAAACGGATCTCGACTGTCAGAGTCGCTGAAGGTGGAAAGAAGAAGGAACAAGAAGAGAAACTTTAGTTTAATTTTTTTTCAAGTCGGGTTTTTTCTTTTGTTTCGGAAAAGGCTGTTTATTTGTATTCTCGAGCCTTGAAACGACCTTTTATGATATTCTCAGTGTGATACGATTAGGTTTAATGAGACTGAATCTGTGAGTATAGTGTTCCATAAGATACTATTGCTATAAGATACTATCATTGTACTCTACTTCATGTAGACCAATTTGTATATAGTTTTAATGACTTAGTAGATCCAGATGTATTAATGACTTTTGATCAATGGTTTTTATATAAAAGAAATAAAATGAGTGAAATTTATACGATTTTTGAACTTTGAAACAACCTTTTATGACGGTGTCACTGCGAGTGTAAGGTTTCGGAATATATTATTATCAACAGTTTGTATAATTAAATATCACTGGGGATCCAGATGTAGGTATTAGTTATTTTTAATCAGTGTTTTTTATTAAAAAAGAAATTATTTAAGTTGTCCTTTATTTATCATGGTTATCTAATCAGGTAGTAAGAGCATTATTCGTGTTTCAATAATTCTAAAATGTCCAAAATAAGTTGCAGATTTTTTGTCGATGTCGCTGTGTTTTTTACAATATTTTTCCATTTCGTAAGTAAACTTGGTTTAAAGATTTTAATTTATGGGTACTTATTTTAGGCACTGGGATTTGTTTTGATGCTAGCTGATTTTCCTATTTTGGATATACGAGTAATACTGGTAATATCACTGCTTGGAAACGGGGCAGTGACATTTGCAGTACTAATGGTAATTTAATCACCAAATAATTCGTTTAATGAAAAAAAACTTCTAGAGATTTCAGAGCTGCGCTTTGGTGTATTTAATAACCGAAACTCTCATTATTATTTTACAATATCCTATTGTATTCTACGCATTTCACTCTTCAGGGGTGGCCATACTGACGGTCCTTTTGGTGTTGTTGATTAATATTTTTACCACTTATTGTGTTTATTTGTTGTACAAACGATTCCATCAAGAACCGGGAACTGTGATAAGGATACCAAGGCAGGAAGCAACAGTTGAAGAAAATGAAGTGACTGAACCTAATCCTATGTTGTAGCAACATCTTTTATAATAATAATATTGTTCTCATATAGCATAGCGTTTGATTTTTTTATGTTATGCAACACATAATACAACTCTGATGAATTTCAAATCACCATAGTCGGCTCATAATGGAAACTCCTACTGTCTCTTACGTGTAGAAACATGGATTATAATCAGACAGACTGATATGACATCTGTACTTATCTTTTTATACATAAAAAACACGTATAAAAAATATGACGACGTTATTCATGAATGCAGTAGAGTCGAGAATTCCAGAAAAACACTGTGGTTAAAAAGACTCAAGAGTCAGCTCTGCAACTAACAGAGTGGTCGATAGAACAATAAAAACTACTACTGTTAATGTTATTTCTATTCTAAGACTCAATGAAGACGATAGATTGGTGTTTCCCATAGCTAGATATCGCTGTCAATTTTCTTTCCGAACACCAGCTCGATTATAATAATCCCACGCACCCATCTAATAAAACCATTTAAAGAATTTCTCCAAATCACTTCTGAACATTAAAATATTTTGTCCGACTAATCTCAACTTTTAAAATCCCATAAATTATCGCCGATTTATCGGCGCTCCAGATCACAAGTGTTAAATTATGATTAGAGAAATGAAAATCATGTCCCTTAAGGTAAATGCTTAGCGTGGGTAGCGCACAATTAATCGGCTTCGGCAATTTCGAAAACGTGCAGGAATTTAAATATCTCCGAGCTGCGATTAACAATATATTACAATTTAAATGAGCCACTGACAATCTTGCACAGAAGGTATCATTTAACATTACGAAAGCAACATCTCTATTAACCAAAATTTGATAGGCGGCGATTATGTAAATTCCCGCGTGTTTTTCTTGTCAAAAACGATTGTTCTCGCGCACCAAATATTGACTCAACAAAAATAAAGCGTCCAATTTGCATGAACATTAACAACGTGTGTATTCGCGTATTAACATGTTAATGAAGCTTGTAGCTGTGACGCAACCTATACAGGATGATCGAGGAAATTCGTTCACTCTGGACTTATTTACTACAACGTTGATTTATGACCCTCTTGTCTTCGGGTATTTGCTTTTCTTCTGAATATAAACAGAGATAAGGCGCTCTTGTGACACCGTTCGCTAGATTCGTCAGTCGCTATGGGTACCACCGAGAAGAAAACAGAAAAGTACGAACTGCTACCCCCGGAAGGGGGCTGGGGGTACGTCATCGCGGTCGCCCTAACAATAATGATAGTAAGTAACGAAGAATTCGTACCACGGTACTATCGTACTGTTTCTAGAACGTAACCATCATACCTATGTCGTCGTTTGGTTTGATCTTTGGGGGGTTTCTCGCGAGCATTGGGGACGAAACGACAGGTACCACTCTGGCTAATGGGATTTTCAACACCTGCTTTAATATAACGGGGCTAGCCGCTAACAGTCTCCTCCGGAAGTACTCCTACAGAATCGTGGGACTCATGGGAGCTTTTATCTATTTCATTGGGAGTTTTACGACGATTTTTGTGACCACGCTCCCACAAATGGTGATTTCTTTCGGGGTCATTCAAGGTATGTAGTACTCTGGTGTTCCTTCATAATTTGAATTTTTCAGGTTTGGGGATGGGTTTAATGTTCCCTGCGTTTTTCACCGCTCTGAATTATTATTTTGACAAGAAGCTGAGTCTGGTGAATGGAGTAGCGCAAGCGTTTATGGTGGCGGCTGGTATGATTTGCCCGTTCTTGGTACGGTACTCAATGGTGAACTTCGGGTTCCGTGGTACCGTGGCTTTGCTTTCCGCTTTGAGTCTCAATTCGGTGTTGGCGGCCGTGAGTTTACAACCCGTCGAGTGGCACATGAAGAAGCAACAAATCCCCATAGAGAAGGAGGAATTAGTTATGGGAAAGTTCGTGGTACAGAGAGTCAGGAATTCCATTATAAGTCTAGGGGATAGAGCACTTTCCGTGACTACTCTCAACGAAAAAGACAAAAGTTTCAAGGAAAGTACCACCTGGTGGAAGTCTGTGGCCAAATCCATGGACTTACACATGTTCAAGGACCCAGTCTACGTCAATATATCCACGGGGTTAGCCCTAGGCTTTACCGCAGACGTCGCTTTCATATCGATCATCCCTCTGGTACTCATCAATGCGGGTTTTAGTGCCAACACGGCCGCTTTCTTCATGTCGGTGTTCTTCGCTGCGGACCTCGTCGGAAGGATTCTTCTGTCAGTACTGAGCGGCCTTTGCACCATCAAGAACCGGTACTACTTCCTCTGCGGTTCCTTCTTTTTGGTGATTTGCAGGACGGCTTTCGTTCTCCGGAACGACTTCTACTGGAAACTGGTCACTATATCTTGCGTCGGGTTTCTGCGGTCTTTCATCCAGACGCCGCTCCCGCTGGTGGTGTCGGAGAAGTACTCTGACAACTTCGCGACGGCTTTCTCTCTATACATGGTTGTGTGCGGCGTGGTTTCTCTGGTTTTTGGTCCCTTGATGAGTAAGTCTAGTGGTACTGATTACACAATTCTATGGTTGATTTTGCAGGCGCTGTCAAAGCCTGGACCCACAGCGACGTCATGGTCGTCCACCTCCTCACTCTAGCCTACTTGACGGTGGTACTCTCTTGGAGTGCGGAATTAATCGCGAAGCGGTTTCGACGTTCCAAATAAATAATCTCGATTGTATCAACAATAAAGCAGAATTAATTGGTTCACCCTGTAGTTATAGGTTAGGTTCGTTACGCCCGTTATTATTAAAACTCAATTTGTCGCTGGACGCTTATTGGCACGACGTTCACCTCGGGCCGTATGTAAATCATCTCCCCGGAGGTACTCAATTAAGTACCAAATTTACTAAGACGAAAAAATCGTAATTAGACCCGCAGTGTGTTCTAGCGAAACCGTCATCGCGTCTCTTGATTAAGAAATATGAATATTGTGATTACTTAATAAAACGAAGCGTCTGCGTACGCGTTGCCCCACCACGAGGCAAAAAATCCAAAACCAATTTTGATTCGTAATTATCGTCTGTTCACACCTTTATCGGGCTGAGATTTATGAAGAATGGGCTTTATCGGACGCCATCTAAATGGCAGCAGGGTTTCTTATTATGATATTCACGAAGATATCGCACCTATGAGCTACTTATCACTTTGGGGATGCGATAAACGAGCGTTTCGTGTTGTGGTTTTGTTTTGGGAGGTGAGAGATTTTTTTTAATGCGGTGGGACCGTTTAAATTAATTATAGTGCAAAGAAAACAAAGAGATTTGGCCTGGGGCGAGGGTCGGTGGAAGTTTTTCGAGAATTTGAAGGTTTGAGATGCGTGCGAAACGGTGGAAGCGCAAACAGTTTTTTCATTGTTCGGAATATAATAGGACGGGGACTTAGCGATAAGGACTTAAAAAGGAGCGTTAATGGAGCGGAAGACGGCGATGACATTTGGATAATTTGTTAATTGGGTTACGACTGATACCACTGTGTCAATAGAGCGTCGTGGGAATTTGTTCACGCTGTTGACATTCTCTAATTGATTCTTAATGTTGTGTGCCCACGGTGCGCTTGTTACAGAAACGACAGATTACAAATGTATACAGGATTTGGAAAGTTTATTAGACTGTATTTATTTTATTTAATTAAGAAAATATTATCGTTTGACTGATAAATGTGGCGAAAATAGAAAACAAACACACTTGCGGCGACTAAATAGTGATAACTGGGGTTACGACACTTCAGTTTCCTGGTCAACTTGAACCCTATTTTTTTTAGTCTTAAAAGGATCTAGCCGACTGACCATTGTTGGGTATCTGGTCATAATTACACCAAGGATTATCGTCATCCTCGTTAGCCTCATCGTCTCAAGAAGATAAACGCAATTTTAACGATGAGCTTAGTCATTAATCAAAATCATATTAGCAGAAAATGACGATGAGAATTAATGGCGTGTGGAAAAATATCTCCTAGAAATAAGTACAGTATATGTTTTTACATATTTTGATTCCTAAAAATGAAAATGACCACAAATATATACCGGGTGTCTGGAAAATAGCGGAGTAACTCTTCAGTACTAAACACTAGAGAAGATGTTCAAAATTCCTGCCTTGTGCATTTAAGGAAACTTGTAATGTTTCCAAATTCTGATCATTTTTTGTAAAAGTTAGTCATCAGTGCTTGCTAAGATAAAACTAAGAAAAAAAGGCAAAATGTAGCCCCGCCCACCCGCCCTATCTCACTTGTGATGTTTTTTTTTTATAATCGTTGAGAGCCAAAGGACCGGAATTTAAATACAAAATTCTAATGATTATTACCTTTTTTTTTTGTTAATATACATAGTATTCTTTGAACAAAACGATGGTCAAAAACATATTTTTAATTTCTTGTAAAGAAATAAGTATTTTGCAGTTAAGTTGAGTCCCCTTGGTTCAGGGCGAATGAAAAAAATCATCACAATTGAGATAGGGCGGGTGGGTGGGCGTACACTTTGCCTGTTTGTTTTAATATATGTGTAGACTTCTTTTCACAAGATGAAACTTAAAACATGTTTAAAATAGAAAATTTTTATGAGGAAATATTTGCAATTTGGCCCCGTCCCATGATTGCAAGACCCATATTTTGACCATTTTAACCATGTTTTAAGTTTATTGTTATGGAAAGATGGCTATATATATTAAGAAAAAAAAGAGCAAAATATTAGGAAGTACTGGAATGAAGTCCGTCGGCCAAATCTCTACTTTTACATTTTTTCGAACTTTCATGACTCCTAGAGTACGAAGAAATAGGTTAGTACCTGTTAAGATAAGACTGATTTTGGCAAATGACATACCCTCTAAGAAGAGACAGGGTGGGTGGGCGGGGCTAGTACCTGCTAAAATGAGATCGATTTTGGCAAATGAGATATCTTCTAATAAAAGAGAGGGTGGGTGGACGGGACTAGTGTTTACTAACATAAGAGTAATTTTGGCAAATGATATACCTTCTAAAAAAAGAGAGGGTGGGTGGGTGGGGCTAGTAGCTGCTATGATAAGACTGATTCTGTCTAATGAGATACGTTCAAAGAAAAGAGAGTGTGGGCGGGGTTAGTACCTGGTAAGACAAGGCTGATTTTGGTAAATGAATGTATCTCATCAGACAAAATATCTTAGCAGGTACTAGCCCTGCCCACCCACCCTCTCTTTTCTTAAAGGGTATGTCATTTGCCAAAACCAGTCTTATCCTAGCAAGTACTAGCCCCGCCCACCCACCCTCTCGTTTCTTAGAAGATATATCATTTGCCAAAAGCAGTTTTATCTTAGAAAGAACTAGACCCGCCCACCCACCCTCTCTTTTCTTAGAAGATATATCATTTGCCAAAATCAGTTTTATCTTAGAAAGAACTAGGCCCGCCCACCCACCCTTTCTTTTCTTAGAAGGTATATCATTTGCCAAAATCATTTTTATCTTAGCAGGTACTAGCCCCACCCCCCCACTCCCCGCCCTCTCTTTTCTTAGAGGGTTTGCCTTTGCCAAAATCAGTTCTATCTTAACGAATGTTGATGACTAACTTTTACAAAAAATGATCAAAATTTGGAATTATTACGAGCTTAGATACATGCACAACACAGGAATTTTGAACATCTCTAGTGTTTAGTTGGTTATGCTTTAATGGATTTTTCTCAGCTAGTACTTGCTAAGATAAAACTGATTTTGGCAAATGACATACCTTCTAAGAAAAGAGAGGGTGGGTGAGCGGGGATAGTACCTGCTAAAATGAAATCGATTTTGGCAAATGAGATATCCACTAAGAAAATAGAGGGTGGGTGGGCGGGTCTAGTGACTGCAAAGATAAGAGTGATTTTGGCAAATGATATACCTTCTAAAAAAGAGAGGGTGGGTGGGCGGGGCTAGTGTCTGCTACGATAAGAGTGATTTTGGCAAATGATATACCTTCTAAAAAAAGAGAGGGTGGGTGGGCGGGGCTAGTACCTGCTAAGATAAGACTGATTTTGTCTAATGAGATACGTTCTAAGAAAAAAGAATGTGTGGGCGGGCTTAGTACCTGCTAAGATAAGGCTGATTTTGGTAAATGAACGTATCTCATCAGACAAAATCAGTCTTATCTTAGCAGGTACTAGCCCCGCCCACCCACCCTCTCGTTTCTTAGAAGATGTATCATTTGCCAAAAGCAGTTTTATCTTAGAAAGTACTAGCCCCGCCCACCCACCCTCTCGTTTCTTAGAAGATATATCATTCGCCAAAATCAGTTTTATCTTAGAAAGAACTAAGCCCGCCCACCCACCCTCTCTTTTCTTAGAAGGTATATCATTTGCCAAAATCATTTTGATCTTATCAGGTACTAGCCCCACCCCCCCACCCCCGCCCTCTCTTTTCTTAGAGGGTATGCCTTTGCCAAAATCAGTTATATCTTAACAAGTGTTGATGATTAACTTTTACAAAAAATGATCAAAATTTGGAATTATTACGAGCTTAGATATATGCACAAGGCAGGAATTTTGAACATCTGTAGTGTTTAGTTGGTTATGCTTTAATGGATTTTTCTCAGCTAGTACCCGCTAAGATAAAACTGATTTTGGTAAATGACATACCTTCGAAGAAAAAACAGGGCGGGTGGGCGGGGCTAGTACCTCCTAAAATGAGATCGACTTTGGCAAATGATATACCCTCTAAGAAAAGAGGGGGTGGGCGGGCGGGGCTAGCACCTGCTAAGATAAGACTATTCTGGCAAATGAGATACCCTCTAAAAAAAAACGGGGTGGGTGGGTGGGGCTAAAACCTGTCAAGACTGATTTTGGCAAATGACATGTTCTCTAAGAAAATAGAGAACGGGCAAGTGGGGCTAGCACCTGCTAAGATGATTTTTTAGGAATTGGCCACTTTTTCAAAAGCATAATTTTTCAATACTTTTCCACATAAAGGTTTCGATATCTCGATTTTAGTTTCGGCCTCAGTTCTTCGATAACTTTCTTCAAAATCGCCACTGAAGAATTGCAATTTTTGGGTTAAAAAAATGGTTTTCAAAACGAATATTCCTAAAATCTCGCCCTGACGTCATAAATGCGCTAAATTTTTAGAATCGACGAGTCAAAATCAATGTTTCAAAGTTTTTTGAGAAATTTTGGCAACTTTTTCAAAAGCAAAATGTTTCATCCCCCCCCCCCCCCCCAAATTTTCCGCCAATTTTCGACCATTTTCCACTATTTTTTTAAAACGAATATTTCTAAAATCTTACCCCACTATCTTTTTACATCGAAATCTATATCCCAGAATTTTTTGGAATCTTCTTTTTGGTAACTTTTTCAAAAGCAAAACTGATTTTCAAACCAAATATTTCTAAAATCTTCCACAATAAACATGCTATATTTTTGAAAGCAACACGCCGAAATCTATGACCCAGAATTTTTTGAAAATTTTCAAAAGCAAAATGTTTCAATAAGAAAATTTAGGCCAGTTTTCGAGCATTTTTGATACTTAACCAAACACATTTTTTATAGACTGATTTTAGCAAATGACGTATCCTGTAAGAAATTTAATTAAATTATTATAAGAATTGACAATAGAGGCCCTAAAGCACTGTCAAATTATTTTCAAACAGGAATACCTAGAATCTCAAGATTGTTTTAAATTAAAAAAAAAAACTGGGTCCTAAAATTAACTTAAAACCAGATCAGCTCAGAGTCTTATCTTAGCAGGTATTAGCCCCGCCCACCCACCCTCTCTTT